CAATAGCGGAAGGAAAAATCATCTGTTTGGAATTGTTGTATTAATCCTTAATACTGTGTCCATGGCAAAATCATGGAATTAAAATAAATGACGAGTAAAAGCGTCCCGCCCGCGGGCGATGATATGTAAAGTCAAACCAACGCGTTATTCATTTTACAATTGCATCGATATATTGCGTTGGATTTCGTTTATAATTGTCCATATTTGCTTTTCCTTGTCTAGTCTTTTAACTCCATAATTCCGCCGTCAAGAGCAGAATTTCAAATTTCAATATGACATATTCTAATGACATTTTCTTTCCCGTTACATTACAAATATAATAGGAGTCTAATTTTACATAACGTTAAATAAATTGGATAGATTGAATAGACTGTATGCCAATTCAAGAACAGATCCAGTTTGAATCTTTCTCAAGTCAATTGTGGTTTAGATTTACTGACTCTCGCGCTGTCTCGTAACGACAAGACGTCGCTCTCATTTGTTCGTTGACTTTACGCCAAGAATACAACCGTTAGACATTGCCAATTTTAGTAATAGCGTTTCAATTCACTTCTGTCGAGAATCAGCTTCAGAATTCGTGCGTCTTACATTACGATAGAGAGAAAGAGAATGTGTGAAAGTGGGAAAGAAAGCTAGGGGAGGGGGGGGGGGGGGGGGGGGGGGGGGGGGGGGGGGGGGGGGGGAATAACTCGTTATGGTATTAAATGATGTCGCGTGAATCCGGTTGGACTCAGCCCCCTCCTCTTTGGTTGCAGACCAGGAGGTCACCGAGGAGGACGGGGGTTGGCAGTCCGCTACCAACATCGAATATCAACGAAAAGTACAGGAATCGAACCAAAATACAAGCGCAGATCGGTACGGTGAGACGATGGTGCAATCGCAGCCTCAAGAGCTGCCGATAATCGATCTCTTAGACAACATTAACGATCAGATGGAGATCGTACTGAAATCGGAGCCTATCTCGCCGAGGATGGTCGAGCTTGAGTCCTGCCTACTGTCGAATCATACACTCGAGAGCCATACGGATCTTGATTCGGCGCACGAGTATCGTCACGATGACCTTCGAGATAAACAGCAGCCGCAAACGTCCGGAAGATTTTCGAATAATGACGCACCGTCACGGTACAACCTGCCACGGTTACGATCACAAAACGGTATCGTGCAATCGTTGCGCGCCTGTTACGAATCGGATCGTAAATCCACGAATCGCACTTACTGCAATTTTTGCCAGAAAACCTTCTCACGCGCTTGGTCCCTGCAGAGACACTTGGCTGACACGCATTTCTATGTGCCGCAATCTTTATCTTGTGATCAGTGCGGTAGAAGTTACAAGTCCAGGAACAGTCTGGTCAGTCATAAAAGCCAGTATCACGCTCGCAAGGACCGCAAAGAGCAAGAGGCAAAATGCGAAGTCACGTATTGACCGGCAGCACCGATCTAGGACGAACTTCTCCGTTCTATCGTAAAATACGATGAATAAAAGAACTAAGAATACAATCGTCGTGTACAGAATGCACATACGATGCAAACCTTGGAGATGTCTACGAAGAGAGAGAGAGAGAGAGAGAGAGAGAGAGAGAGAGAGAGAGAGAGAGAGAGAGAGAGAGATGTTGTAGTCTACCGGCTGTCAATAGAAGACATTACCCGTTTTGTATAAATGTGTTCTACTTATAGTATGTTACACTACCGCTGATGTATTGTAATTAATCTCAACAGTATTGGAGCGAAATGTTGCTAGTCGTTTATTCCTTCGGCAGATTACCTTAGTTGAGACCAAAGAAAAAAAACTATCAGCAATTCCTTATCTATAAACCAGTACCTCAAAAATGCAATATTGTATAGCATATAGAGTACAATTATTTAATTAATAAAATAAATTTAGCTAAACTAATTAAAATGCGATTTTCTAGAGTTTGAATTTTGATGCGTGGAAACGCTCTCTGGCGTTTTATTTGTAATATCGTATTTCGTTTAGTTTTTGGTAATGAAAGTGTGGGGGATGCATTATTTTGAGTTTGTCATATTAAAATCGGTCTTATTACAGTTATACCCTTCTAAATCTTAATTTAAAAAAAATTGTTTTTATTTATTCGTTTTTTGGATACGCTCACAAATATATTCGTACTTATAAAATAATATTACTAGTCGACATTTATCCAATGAGATTTTACTGGAAAAAGAGTGTGAATTGTTTTGCTGTTATCTATTCCCCGATATTGGACGTATTATAAAGCTGAAGTCGTTATAAAAATGCTGGTTGACTGTTTAATAGATCAGATTGTTTTTTAATCAAACGTTATTTGACGTTGTACAATCTGTGACATTTCATTAGTTACATACAAAGAGAAATACAAAATGTTACGTTTTTATAAAGACTCACGTTGCACAAAATGTTATAGCTACGTTTTTTGATATAAATAAATATCGCATTGTTCCTGTACTCATGAGATTGTAATTATATTTAAGAAAAAAAAAAACTACTGATCTATTGTTATAACGCGGCGTATATAATGCAATAAGTCGCGACTTAGCGGCGAAGAGAAATAAAGAAGATAAGTAATTAAAAGAAAGAAATAACGAATAAAATGTTGTTTCTAATGAGCGAGCGCTATCTCTCACGGCCTAAATATCGCGCGAGAAGAAAGAACTTCTGTTGGTAGCTCTTTCGCTCAAGGCTACGAAAATGCCATTAATCATGAAATATAGAATACATTACGCTTCATTCGCATCACCTCATTAGAAACAGATATCGCATTTGTGTATACAGCTCGCACATATTTCCACTCTCCCGCGCATATTCATACGCGTACATGTACATATATCTATATACATATAAGATATTACGCTCTATTTTGCTGTAAATAATATGCATTGACATTGATATATATCTATATATCTATATATAAATATATAAATATATATATATATATATATATATATATATATATATACACACATCATACCTGGTGATCATGAAACACTAACTTCATCGCTCACGATCGTTCGCTGGAACTTTAGAACTGCTTGCACTGTGTTATCCTAATTGCGTTTGAAAGAAATAAATGTCACACAATGAACTGAGAGATGCTGCAAACAAATCGTGTCAGAAAAGCCTTCTAGAATAGAGCATCGCGGTTATTACCATTGTCATCGTATTCAATATAATACACTTTAGTGTATTTCGTAAAGATTTAAGTTCGATTGTTACGTGATTGTATAAAATACAGCTAATTGATCGAGTAAAATCATTGGAACAGCGTTTACACGCGAAAGAGAAACGTATAAATTGAGATATTACAATAATACAACATTTGACATTTCATATCGTTCTCTCTGAAAATATCACTATAAACTATTTGAAATATTAATAACATGTATGAATTATGTCATGTATTAGCACTTCTTGTTTAATGTTTTAGCACTTAATTTTTTATTAGTATATAAAATTATTATTTCTCACTTATATTGTTTGATAATAACAATAAGTGCTACAAGAGTTAGTATAATCTATAGTTTTATACCATATAAGCTTTTATGCTTCTTTTACTTTACCATATTTTGATAAAAATCAGTTGTGTACAATTCTTCATACAAGTTTTATGAAATCAATCGCGGAAAAAGAGAAATCCAAAATATACCTCGTAGAACGCGCAAATGCAGTAAACGAAAACAGCGGCAATAATAGAGTCAGGAATGACGAACGCGATAATGATAATGCTGGAGAATATTGACGACAAAGACAAGGACGATGACGGTACTCATTATAATGATGGTTATAAACCGTTTATTGTATCACATTACAAATGATAATGATCGGACTAATAGAAGGATACAACGATGATAATAATGTTAATATTGACGAGGTTAAAGGTGAGGAGATATCGATCACATGACAATAATGGACACATCGAACTATATTGAAATGGCAAACTTGATGATTCGTTCAGATGTGAGATGAAATAGAATGGCTAAATAAATTTAGTCGAATAAATTGAGTCAATGTGATTTTATGAATTTCGATGCACGGAAACTACCTCTATCTCTATTTGTTACATCGTGTTTCGTTTGGTTTTTGGTAACGAAAGAAAGATGAAAACGGAAGATAACTGCGACGAATGACATTAGCAATTACAATGACGACAAAGCGGCATCAGAATAAGAGAAAAATCGAGAAGATGACAATATGACATTGACACCGACGACGAGATTAACAATGACTATGACATTGGTGATATGACTCTTTAAATTATGGTTACGATAAAGAGATTAATATGATGATAACATAGTCGAATTTACAGAGAAGTTGACCACATACAAAAATCTAAAAAAGAAATAAAGAAGGAAAAAAAACGAGAAGTATATACGGTGACAATGGTTGCATCCGGTGTGCGTTAGAAGGCGTTCCCCTCGTGATAATCTAACGTTACATCACGCAATGAGGCGCAAGCAGCAATGACAGTAGCAGCATCCATAAAGCATATATAACTTAAGGTGGTTTTAAGAAGTAACACGTAAACGAGTTTGGGCACGGCTTGTCGGGTGACGGTGGTACAACGTATGCTCGATTAATAAAGACGCAAAATAAAGTATTAAGAGGCAAAAAAGAGAGCACACGGGCGCACGATATTTTCTCAGCTGCGAAAACTGTGGTGGTGTGATCTTAAATGTGACGGTGGTGTAGGAGCGTGAAATGGTGGTGTGCGATCGCGAGAGACGAGGCCGCGCGGCTAGAAAAGAAAACCTTCCCTCTCCCAAAAAAAAAAAAAAAAAAGAAAAGAAAAAGGAAAGGGCAAAGTAAAGAAATACATTGGGGATGATATCCTCTCTCTTTTTCTCTTTCTCTCTCTCGCTCTTTCTGTCTCTCTCTTTCTCTCTATCTCAATCCTCCCCTGCCCCAGTCTAATGTCTACTTGTCCACCTGTCCGACGTCTGTGCGACGTACCGTGCGCCAAAAACCCCTACAAAAGTAGTAACCCCTGTGTGTCTGGTTCTGCCGCCAGGTCTGTTGGCCGGCAGCGGCGCGAGCGATGAGTTTCGATGCGAGCCGTGCAACAAAAACCTGACCTCCCTAACGCGGTTGAAGCGGCACATACAGAACGTGCACACCAGGCCCAGCAAGGAACCGATCTGTAACATCTGCAAGCGGGTTTACTCCAGTCTAAACAGTCTGCGCAACCACAAGAGCATCTACCACCGACAGCACAACAAAAACGAGCAGCAGAGAAAGGAAGTAGCGCAGGCCCGCGAATGGCAGAGAGACCAGAGAGAGCACACCGACAGAAATTACTCTGCGCAGCAACAGCAACACCAGACTCAACAACATCCGCGAATGGGATGAGATTGCTCGCCGTTTGTTCCCCTCGCTTTCTCTCTCTCTACCTCTGTCATGAATTTTTTCATCAAGAGGGTGTACCGAATGTTCATGCGAAACAAACGTATATGTTGCCGTTATCGATACGGATTACGATCCGGCGCGATTCGAAATTTGGAAATTGACGCCGCGGCGATTGAAATAGGTTATTTCTCGCCGTACAGCGGAATATGTAAGTCGACGAATTCGAAATATAAAAATCTCGGTTCTCTCCGTTTGTTACACCGTATTCGAGCGACACTGGCAAAAAGACAGGCAGTGCAAAGTGCAAAACAAAGTCGATCGATCATACAATTATACTTTGTGCGACTTAATGTGATCTATTATAGTATAACATCAATCAACTTATCGCAAACTAACGCGGAGAAATTACGAATGAGTTGAATTACTTGAATCGGTATCGCGTTGATGAAGCGAATTTAATCGATTTCTATTGCGAACGTATGTCGGATAGCTTTCTACCACCGTCTGAGGGATGCACTCGCGATAAAGTAGTCGTCGTCTGTATAGAGTCTTCGTTTATGACGATGGGTTAAATGTTAAATGCAGGTCGGATGAACGACGTCTTGAAATAAAATGCGTAACCGGAAAGGTGATGATGTGTCGCTTCGAGCACACGAGCGACCACGCGCACAAAGCTGCATTGATATTTTTTATGAAAAATAAGAATCATCTGTAAATAGCGTTGCAAAATGAGCGAAGGGCCGATGGTCCGTGTGTATTAGAATCTGAACGATTACTTATGTGATAGGCATAAATCCTTCGATTTTCGACAAGGGCTACGCGATTTGTTGTTATTTTTATATATTATTTATGTGATAAACACACACGATAATTGCAGACAAATTTTGTTTTTCTTTTTTTTTTTTTATTTTTTTCGTTTAGCGTCCTATGTGGCGATATAAAGAAAGGTGCGGTACAAAAACGGGATAATAAAATATTATTTAATATATCTAATTTATTTGTAATATATATACGCTCTCCATTCCCTTAGACAAGGCAATTATAGTTGAATAAAACCTGTTTCAAATAAATCCTTTTCCTTCCATCCTCCGTCTTATAATTTTCCCTTTTTCCTGATATAACGTCTTCGTCCTCGCCTTCGTGCCCCATCCACGACAGAGTTTCTTCGCTGTGATTTAATAGTAAGATTTTATTTTCAGGGATTTCAAATATATTTACATCACGACACACGCGTTATCAATTCTATCAATTTATTCAGCGCCACTGGCAGAATTGATAAGTCTTCCGCGATATTCACACGGAAAATTAATATTTCACTGTTTTTACAATTTTAATTTTGAATTTCTATAATTTATTGAATTGGAAATGAAATATAAATGTGTTGTTAGAAGCTTCCATTGATTTTTGCAAAATTATGTTTGCGCCCATCACATTTGAATAGGATTTACATATTAAAAATTAATTTTATCTTAGGATGGTTTACTTGAATCAATATATAGCGTAAAAGCGAATTAATATTGATTTCTTAAAGTGCAAATAGGAGAAGCATCCGTAAATTATAAGTATTCGACATAATTTTTCAAATTGTTTCACGTTTCGATGCCTTACTTTGTGCATGCACATGTATTAGCACAGTGTTTCTGTATTTTTATTAATTACAGTTTTGAAAAAGCGATATGTGTTCTTATTATTTTAGATTGATCATATAATCGCGTTTGAAGAACATCGTTAAAAAAAGAACGTTGAGAAAAAAAATTGTCGAAGCTGTTCGTAGGCAAACAAGACGTGCATTAAAAGATTGTAATCGCTAAAAATAAACGGTACATTTATCGACACGGAACATATACGTGCGCGCGTGCGCACGTATAAGCGTGTTAATGTACTTTTATTTGTTACATTTTTGGAAAAGGCACGTTCATTTCTAGATATGTCGTTCTTTCTCTTGTCTATAAACGAAAATTGAATATTTTTATCTCCGATGTTATACCATCATATCTTTTCTATTTGATGTATTGTAGTAGTTGTTATCGCCATTAACATTTTTCTCTATCGGCAAGTTTTCATATTATTGTTGCTGCTGCTATTGTCACTCCTGCTACTATGCCTCTACTATTACACTTTCTACTGTGACCGTTACTATTATTTTATATATATATATATATATTTATATATATATGTATTAGTTACCGTTACCATCATCGCCTCTGTTGACACCACAGATACTACTCCTTTTCCATCGAAAGTCAGTTAATATGCCGGAGGAAAGTGGCACGTTTACTTTTACAGCTCGGAGAAAGGTATGTGCGGACATTTCGTTGCTTGTTAAGCTCGCTTGGAATATCTTTTTTCTCATATCGTTTCCGTTTCATCCGGTATTTCATCATAAATGTTTAAATTACGATAAGTACGCATTGAAGTATAATTTCTCTCCTCATTAATCATGTCTGGATTTCCTCTTGATTAGTTCTAAGAGCAATATATCGAATCACAATTTATCGGATACAAAGCCAAATATTGAATTACATGGACAGTGAAAAACTCGAGTCGTTTATAATTAAACCTTTATTTCATTTCGCGATGACAGCAAAACGGTTACAGTAACGACCGTCTTGGGTTTTCACTTTCGGATCTGTCGAATTTATCACGAAGAACGAAATCTTCGTAGCACTTGAGAGATATTGTGTTTCGTAAATTATTATAGAAATAGTTAAACGCAGCCATATATGTGAAGAAATAAAACAGGCGATTGCAAAGTAATTCACGTAACAATTAAAATGCAAGGAAGATCTTTCTTTCCCTTTCTTTCTCTCTTTCTCTCTCTTTTTCTTTACGGTACGAGAATCCGCGAAAATCGCACTGTCGTTCCTCCGGCGGTCTACGATCATCGCGCTTATTATGCATGACCAATGACAAACCAGAGCTCCGAGCCACATTTATATCTCTCTGCGATTAAGATGCAGCAGAAACGAAGTACTCGAGCAACGTACGTGGCTCGCAGGGACATTTCAACAGGCTGTCAGTAAGAGTATCGACGGATATCCAGTAGCAATTTCCTTTGATACCACTGCCAATCTGCTCTCTCGATCGATCCCGATTTAATCCTCAACCGTTCTTCCTTAAACTCATCTTAAACCTTCTCTTCCCTCAATCAACCGACTTGCCTATAATTTGACTGTCAGCGAGAACCTCACGTTTGGCCCCTTAACACCTTGGCATATCACCCTATCTCTAGCCCTAATCATACAAAAATACTTAGCAGCGTATCGTAACTAATCTTGTCCAGTGATATTAATAGCAGTCGTATCTTTGTTCTTGTTTGTTCCCGGTCCCGCTCGCTCGGCTATACGTTTGGCTCTGGTTCGTCATTGTTCTGTGTGTACCTACCCGCTACCTTCACGAACACGGACTTGCGCTGGGGGTCCATCCACACACGTGGCTCTCCGTGTGCCTCCTACACCACAAATATTGGTTCGTAATGGAAATATTTCTTTTTAATTGGGTGTCGATGCATATGTAACGGACTATGGTACTTGATTTCATTTTCTCTCTTTCTTTTTTTCTCTCATTCTGTTTTTCTTTTTTAAATCTTTTTGCATATTTCATCTTTTCTCTCTCTCTCTCTCTCTCACGCTCGTTTTTCATATCTGCATTTATGTCACTATCTTTATTTTACGTCTATTTATTATTTACTTGTATTCATCTATCTTTATTTATCGTTTCTTCATGCACATTTTAAATCTATTGTTTATCATATAATTTATCGACTTGTGTACTGCCTACACTTTTTTCTATCTGCTATATTTATCAACATACGTAACTTTTCCCTATCGCTTTGCTTGCCTATCGCTTTATAAAAACGCTCAACCGTATCGCCGCTGTCTCTCTCTCTCTCTCTCGCTCTCTTTTATGTTTGCATTTTTACGTCTTCGATGACATTTTCATCCAAACGGAAAAAATATCTCACAATCAAAATCTTAAAAAAAAATCAATATGTCTATGTGCGATCACACGGATCTCAGGTCCGCCCTCGGCGATTCTCGCGATGCGACTGTCGCACCCGTTACACGGTAGCCTGCTGCCACCAGGAATTTGCTACACGTGCGACGTATGCGGCAAGACTCTTTCCACGAAGCTCACTCTAAAGCGGCATAAAGAGCAGCAGCACTTTCAACCCCTGAACAGCGCGGTCTGCGCGTTGTGCCACAAGGTGTTCAGAACGCTCAACAGCCTGAACAACCACAAGAGCATCTACCATCGTAGGCAGAAATAGAAGTGATTGCGCACGCGCGTATCTTACGTGCCAAGAGACATCACGAAACGAGCTTAATAGACGCTAAAATAAAAAAAAGTTCCACGTTGTTTATGATCGACCAGGTCGTGCGATCGACCAGATTATCGACAGCGTGGCCATCCTGAGAGAATCGCGTCGTTCTCTTCTTGAATTCTTGCTGTTTCTAGCCAAAAAAAAAGAAAGGAAACAAAAAGAAAAACGACATCGAATGTTGAGAAGGACTAGTGATTTCAGCCTGTTGCTCGATTCATCGATCCACAATCATTACCGCGCGTATTTAACGCTGCATACAGCCGTCTGATTTGATTTCTTCAGTTTATCGAAATGTGCGTGATCTTTTGAGAGTATTTACGTTGTAAATACCCATGCTTTCAAATTGATGTATTTAGCTATATTTTTCTTTCCGCTTACAATTGTTAGAATGTCGGAACCAGAAAAGCTGCGGTACACAATCATCAAAAATAATTCATAGCAATTTGCCGATCCAGGCTTTAAGGAATTAATACGAAAGCCACGTGTATAAAGTTAGTGCGAGATGAGAATCAGACGGACACTTTCAGCGATAAATATACGGTGAAAATTGATATGGACCTTTGACCGGTAACGGATTGCCGACGTTTTTTACGAGATTTGAAATACAATTGTTATGTTATTATCACCTGTCGATTGTACATCGGTCATAATGGGTTTGACATTTGGGACCATGGAATGTGTGGGATCTATGGATTCTTTTAGCCACTCGATCATTCGAGGAAGATGCGATTATCGGAAACAACTCGGTCATTCTTCGAGAGACAATAGGAATTTGCGTCGAATGTCGCCATTGTGTTCACGATGTTTGTGCGTGTGTCCTTAAAAATCTTCCACGTGTGTCTCAGCCGCTCGGCAACAATTTTTGTAAAAAAAAAAAAAAAGTAGGGAACGTCGGTTCGCGCGCGAGAAATCAGTGCTTCCAGATGCGAGTGTACGTGATAAATATCGTTGTCATGCGCGATCTTGGAATCGGTAGAGTACTCTGATCGCGCCATTATTTTATATATATACATGTATATATTCCCATTTTATTTCATAATTGGATATTATGACGAGACGGTGATATTAACGTTGATGTCGCGCTCCCGAATTTTCAAGGAAGTTTTTAGGATCTAATTAATTGACAAAGTTGTGATGAAAAAGAATGAGACTGAACGGGAGTGCAATCAAGATAATTCAAATTAGGGTTGATTTCCCGAGTTGATTTTAATCGATGCGTAATCCTCGAGACGTGTGTTGTTAGCAAATGATTTATTCGCAACTATTGCACGTAATTCACGGAAGCGATTACTTAGATTTTGCACGTAAGATTTCGCACAAACACGCATATACACGTAGCCGCGCGCGCACACACACACACACACACACGTATGTACGCACACACACACACACACACTGGTGTTATGGTTTACGGGACCCAGTGCCAATGGATTAAAATAGAGAAAAGTAATCTTAATTTTATAATTACTTGTACTTATTTTTCTAGTGTACGCGCTTTTCGTATGTTCTTCTCTTGTTTTTTTCGTTAAATTTCTGTTAATACTGTAAGAATATAAATGATCACACGACAGATCGGATACAATAGACTGGATACATGTGAATACCGATTTTAATACAGTTCAGGAGATTGACAT